TAATTATTTAGCTCTAATTGAGCTGTGTGCTATGGTAGAGAAGTGCTGGGTGGGCACTGTGAAAGCCACTTACATTTACCCAGCCTGGTCTGGGGCACAAGACTGGTGAGGATGTCCCTGGAGTAAATGCCATTTCCACCATAATCTGAAGGATGAGTGGGAGCTGATCAGATTGCTGAAGGGGGAGTAAAATTCCAAGCATAAAGAATAGTGTGGAAAAGGTTTGAGTTAGGAAGGAGTATGACATATATGAGGAGTTGAAAGAGGGTCACAGGGCTGGAACATAGTGGGCAAGGAAAAGAGTGGACTCAGGTGGACATTTCCTGAGAGATAGGCAGGGCCTCGAAGGCCATGCCAGGGACTTTGGTCATTATTCTAAGAGCAGTGTAGAGCCAGTGAAGGGTCTGGAGTGGGAAAGAGAAGGGGAAGCATTTGCACTTAAAAAGACCACTCTGTCTGCTGATGGAGTTGGGTTGAAGGGGACAGAGTGAGTATCAGGAAACTTCTTTTCAATAATAATTACGTACTTCTCAAAGGGAGAAAAGTCTTTGAGACAACGTGCAATATTTTTTCCACACGTGTTAAGATCAAAGGGTTGTTCAACAGAACCAATTTAGTGGCCTGTGCCTGCCTATGCAAGGTCTCAGAATACGAAGTGCAAAGTCCTACCATTGCTGAAGATGCACTATCAGAAAGAAGGCTCCTCTTGACCTCAGGGCTGCGAGTCTATCTTGTGTTGGCATCACTGAGTCTCTGGCTTCCTGGGCCATCCATATTCTGTCCCCACCATGGCAGCCACGGTGGGAATCAGGGCAGCAGATGGTGGTGCAGATTGGAATGGGAAATGGGACACTGTCACTTTGTTTTCAGGGCCTCCGTCAACCAGCAAGTGAATGTCAAGCCCTAGAGCCTCAGCTGGCTCAAAATTCTCCGTCAATTAGGAGCCCAAAAGGAGATGCCTGAATGTCTTGTTTATTCGTGGAGAGTATTTTTTTTCCTTCCTTCCATCTTTCCTTCCTTCCTCCCTTCCTTCCTTCCTTTTTATTTTCTTTGTAGCAAGAGAAGGAGAAGGGCATCCTTCAGGCTATGGGTTGGTGCCACATCACACAATATCCACCCTCCACCCCTTCATCTCAGTAAGGAAGGGCCACCTCTTCCCTGAAGAAGGAAGTACAAAGTTTTATGCTGGGATTCAAGGCCCTGCCCAGTTAGATCCGCTCATACACCTACTGTATCTTCATTACACACCCACGCCCCTGAACTCCAGCAATCTCAACTATTATTTTGGTCCCTGTACAGGCTCTGTATTTCCTTCTTTCTTTTGTTCATTCTTTCATTCAACAGATATTTATTGAGCACCTACTAGGTACCTAGACAAGAGGGATAAAGTAGTGGGCAAAGCAAGATTCCTGCCCTCACAGAGTTTACATTCTGGTGAGAAAGACAGGTACTAAATATCATTAGATCATCTTTATTTTTGTGCATGTCTGAAAAAAATGTAAAATTCCCTGTAAATTGTACCATTTGAGAAACCATCACTGTGGACGTTTTGTGACCATTTTTATAGACATTTTTCTGTACATACATTGCACCCCCACACACAGGCAAACACACACATGCACTTTTATATAACAGAATAAACTATACACTTGCTTGTTTTCAACTCAAGAAATTATTAAGGAAATCTTTTCATGCCACTGAGTTCTAATAGAGATCGCCTTTCTTAATGTCCACACAGTATTCTATTGACTGTATTGACTGCAGTTTGCTTAACCCTCCTAATGGCATTTATGTTGTTTTCATTGTTCCAGCCTGAAGTTCTCTCCCATTCGTTAACAGATATTCACATGTCTTGAACCCTCAGTTGCTTCAGCTGTCTGCTCAAATGTCAGAAAAGCTTCCCTGAGCAGCGCGTGTAATACAGCACTGATCCCTCTTTTCCTGTTTTATTTTCCTTCAAAGCACAGATCTGAAGGAACTGAGGGTTCAATTCATATGACTATTTTTAATGAACGAAAGGGCTTTTCAGACAGGAAAAAAAAACAAAGGAAAATATGAAAGGCCACAGAGTTGGTTGTGGAGGAGCTAACACGAGACAGCAGAGCTTCTGACTCTTGGTTCTTCTGCCATAAACACAATCCTCCCTTTTAAAAGGAGGAAATTTATCTCCAGCAATTAATACTTTGCTGTCTTTCTATTAGAACCTAGATAGTGCTCATCAAACTGTAATATGCATATGAATCGTGGGGATCTCGTTAAAATGCAGAGTCTCATTCAGTAGGTCTGGGGTGAGGTTGGAGATTCTGCATTTCCAGCAAGACCTCAGATGTTGCCAGTGCTGCCAGTCAGTGGATCACTCTTGGAGTAGCAAGAATCTAGACGTTCATAGATGGCTAAAGTTTTAGAAAGATAACGCAAACTTTGTAGTTGCATTGCCTTCCCTGCACCAATTATTTGTTCTACCATCAAAACTCCATCAGGAAAAATTCCCTTCAGTTTCTATTGCTCTTCCCATCCCCAAAGCTAAGGCCAGCTTTCTACACACGTGGGATGAAGCTCTGCTTTTCTTCTACCTTCCCCATTGCCTCTTGGCCCACTACACCTGTTCTACTTTCAAGCCTGCTTTCTCTTTATTTAACTGATTTTCTCAGTTCTGTCCTTGGATCAGGGTGTTGTCCCTACGTGTCCTCCCCAAATGTGTTCATTTACTATGATATCTTTATCTACAGTCATGGGTCTCAACCCTGGGTTCACCTTAGAATCACCTGGGGAGAGTGTGAAAAAACGTTGATGTCAGTGTCACATGTCAAACCAATTAAGCAAAAGTTTCTAAAGGGAAAGCCCAGGCGTAAATGTTCTTAACATTCCCCAGTGATTCTAATATGCAGCCGTGGTTAAGAACCACTAAGTTCTAGATGGATTATAAGGATCACCTAGTAGCTGAGGTCTCTCACCTGAGCTCCCTATATGAAACTTTTTTTTAAACAGCTTTATTGAGGCATGATAAATACACAATAAACTGCAAATATTTCAAGTCTGGTAAGTTTTGACATATGTATGTGTCCTGAAACTTTCATCACAAAAGAGATAATGAACATAAGTGTCACTCCCAAAAGTTTCATCATGGCCCTTTGTTATCCCCTTCCTCCTTTGCCTCTACTCCCTAACCCCAGGTGACCACTGATCTACTCTCTGTCACTATTGAATTGTTTGGATCTTCTAGAATATTCTATAAATGGGATTTATAAGAATTTAAATTTTCTATAGATGGAAACATACAGTGCCTACTTTTTGTTTTGCCTCCTTTTGATCAGCATAATTATTTTGAGATTCATCTGTTTTGTTGTGTGTATCAATAGTTCATTTCTTTTTATTGCTGTGTAGTGTTCCACTGCATGGATCTATTGCAATTTGTTTATCCATTTGTCTATTTATGGACATTTGAGTTGTTTCCAGTTTGGTGCTATTCCAGATAAAGCTGCTTTGAGTATTCACGTACAAGTCTTTCTACAGACACATGCTTTTGTTTCTCATGGGTAAATATCCAGAAGAGGAATGCCTGGGTTATATGGTATGTGTATGTTTACCTTTTTAAGCAATTGCCAAACTGTTTTCTAAAGTAGTTGCAATATTTTATATTATCACTACCAGTGTGCAAGAGTCTACGCCTAACCTGGCATCCTCAGACTTAGGGGTGGAGTGTGAGACCAAGAGAGACAGGGGAAAGAAATTGGGGCTCAGAGGAGTTAAAGAATTCACCTCAAATCAAACTGGTAAGTGTTGGAACCCATGAATATAGGTCTGTGCAAATCCAGAGCCAATTCTCAAGAGACCCTTTGTGCTTTAAGGCACCTTTGTAGCATGAAAAGAAGTCAGTGGGTGCCTAAAAGAGCTCAGCAAAGCCACTTTTTTAGGACCCACAATGAGGTCCTTTTTTATGTGTGCTAAAGACAAGGAGTCTTGGTCTTCTGTGTTTTCTAGCTCTTCTTGGAAGAGATCAAAGGTCCTGATGGCGTCATACATCCCTATGTTGACAGAAACCATCCCTGTGTCCACGAGTTCCTATCTTCATCCCTTGGCCCCACTCCCACAAACCACTAGGGGTAAAACATCACCCATGCAACCAACCAATGGCCACCACCTCTGCTCCAGGGTAGCAGTGAGCACAGTGCCTTGCTCAGGGAACCCTGTCAGGAGAAAGGGGCTCCTGCTCTGGTAGGGCGTGTCACTGTCAGCAGTCATTCTGAAAATAATAGAGGCTTTTGGTCCTGTGTTTTTCTGTTAGGAAAGCCACTTTCAAAGAATACAGAAGTGTTCCTTTCTTCCTCCTACTTTTTCTCCCTCTGCTAAAAAGTAAATTACTCCCCTATTGCTACTGTATTTGGAACAATTTCCACAGAAAGAATTCCTGCATATCAAGCCAGTAAGACACATTGATTGACTTTGACTGCTACTTATATTCTGAGACTCTATTGATTACTTAATTCCTAAGGAAGAAAGAAAATCAAGAACTGGAAAACCTGCATGCTACATGGTTACAAAAGGCTTACCACACAACACTGTGAATGTACTAATCAGCATTGAGTTGTACACTTTAAAGTAATTAATTTTATTTTATGTGAATTTCACCTCAGTGAAAAATGCCTACCAATACTTAATACTTTTCCTCGGAGATAATTTCAAAATTCTCAACATAGAAAAAGATGGTTATAATTCAGTCTGTGTAGAAGGCATATTTTAGGGTACTCCCTGTGCCGTGAGCAGAGAGGGACTGCCACCCCCCTACCAAAGACTCTTCTCAAAAAACTGGCCTAGGGGCCAGCCCTGGTGGCCTAGTGGTGGAGTTCAGCATGGTCTGCTTCAGTGGCCTGGGTTCAATTCCCAGGCACAGACCTACACCACTCGTCTGTCAGTGGCCATGCTGTGCCAGAGGCTCACATACAAAAAGAGGAAGATTGGCAACAGATGTTAGCTCAGGGTGAATCTTGCTCACAAAAAAACAAAGCAAAACAAAACCTAGCCTAGGTAGCCCCATTTTTATACTGTGGGAGTCAGTACTTTCTAGCCACAGGTGATTGACCCATGGATGATCATTTGACCCAAGAGTACTTTATTCATAGGAGATGACTTGGGCCAATTAAATTCTCTTGAGATTTTGAACTAATATACTCAGAAAGCAAGATGAGTTGGTAGTGAGCATTGGACTTTTGAAATTATATAGAGTCAGGGCTGAATTGAAAGCAAATTAAGCCATGTACAAGCTAAGTTATGAGGGCCCAGAGTTATGACTCAGCAGAGGAAACAAGAGAACAGGAGAGAGAAAGAGAAGAAAGAAGAGGAGGAGGGGCAAGAGGAGGAGAAGGATGGGGAGGGGAGAGAGATGCCTTGGTTCTGAGAATTTTCCTGGTTCTATTTTGTGGGAAGCATGACAGCACTAAAGTTCCCGTGCCCACAAGACTGCATGCTGTGTCCGGATTATCGAGTGCGTTTTAGGGCATACCTGCTTCTAAAAGCCAAAAACATTGCTAAAGACAAGTTGGCATTTTCCTGGACGGCTTCTGAAATTGGATTCATTACTGGACAAGCAATCTGCATTTCTTGTGCACTTTAAGAGGACATTAAGCAATCCTAAAGGAAAGTCTTGCACTCTCTTTGGTAGGCCAGGGAGAGCTAGTCTGAGCTCTGTGTATTTTGTAAAAACACTGGCTTTTTGTGCTGGTTTGGTCACTGAATGCCTCACTTTACTGATTTGTCAAATGGGGTTGGTAATACTAGATTTAGTATTTCACAGGATTCATATGATGATCAAATGAAATGATGAGTAAAGCGCTTCATAAATCATAAATTGGTATGACAAAGTAGAGGCATCGTAGAATATGACCAGTGAATATGGAGTGCAGGCAGTGGTGAGGGGTGGGTGAATTTCTCTTAGCAAATGACATATTCGTTAAAGTTCACCTTTTGTGAAAGTCAACGATGTAGTTACCACTCTTCATTATGAATCTCCCTAGAGTACTAGGTTGGGACTGACATTATTTTTCTGGTCCTCTCAATATCTAGCGAGACACTTTGCACCTTGCACCAAATGTATTTTGCTCAGGCAAATGTATCTTGCATGGAGTTGAATAGCCGTGGCTGTGACAGACTCAGCAGGTCTACTTTTGCAGCATGAAAGTAACCCTGGGAGAAAGGCTGATAGTAAAAATCATAGGAAAAAAAAGCCCCATCCACGTTCCATACAGAAAACATACCAAGATTAAAACAGAACTCCCCGGTGTGGACTAACTTTGGGTCCTCACGCCCAGAGAAACAAGGAGAGTGGGCTGAGAATGGCGCACGAACTTGTATATCTCAATGTTGTCATTTCAATAATTTCAAGGAAGAAGTGTCAACCAGAGTGACCCATCTAATCTAAGGTATGCCCAGGTCAGTCCTTTTCTTCCATTACTCCCCGTCTCCAGCAGGATAATGTCTGAGCTCCTCACAAAGCAAATCTAGTCTCCCAAGACCCGAAGACCTCTTACTCGATTCTGCCAGTTTTTCTCCCCTTCAGCCTCCTATTTGGCATCCTCAAAATTGAATGTTGGTAATTCCTCTATGAACTGTCTCCCTCCTTTCCTCATTCCCTTTCTGGGCTCTGCCATCTTCACTACCAAGTAGAATGCCACAAGTACCATTCATTTACTCAATGTTTGCTGAGTGTTGGCTTATTCTTTAAGACGCATCTCAGTTATTACTTCCTAATCTCCAACACTGACACCATCTCCCCAACTCCACGAGGGAGCCCTTTCTCTAGGCTACTATAGTACAGACATCCTGAGCATTCTTCTCTCATTGTTTTTATCACTCAGAGGTAATTATCTCTTTACATATCTTGCTCTCCCACTAGAATGTAAACCCACACAGTCAGGGGTTTTCCTTCCTAACTTTTCCTCCGTAATTAAAACAGTGCTTGACACAATGAAAGTGCTCCATATATATTTGTGGAGTGATTAAGGGAACATATCCTAAAGAAACCATGATTTTTAAATTGTGTGATAGTACTAGAAGTATCTCTATTGAGGTCTGTGTGGCACGATCTTACAAAAGACTGACTGGCTTGTAATGGCTTGAGTATTATGCCCTACGTCTCATAGAAAAACGAGTCTCTAGTTTCATGTCTTAATTAAAAAAAATGAGCATTGCTACCCACGTCATCCTTTTCACAGTTCTTGCACATTCATGTGTCCCACAATGACCCTGTGAGGCAGGATTCCTCCTTACAGGGAGTGAAGCCCAGCACCGCTCTATAAGGTGATGTGACTTGCTGAGTTATACAGGTTGGTTACAGAGGAATCAGGATTAGAACCTGAGACTAGTGCCTGATTTGTTATGAAAGATGTTCATCATCTAGGGATCAGTTTTATTGACTCTGAAGGCTAAGCGGGGTAGTCAGGAAAAAAACATCTAGGTATTACCCCTGCAGGGGCAAAGCCCAAGGAGAAAAGAGCCAGAGGCAAGAAGAGAGAGTTGATGTCACTCTGCCATGCCATCCTTTTCTCTTGATTCCCTGTAATGTGCTGTCCACCAGGAAGGAATAGAAGATGCTTGAATTATGCAGTGATGTGTTTCAGTTCAAATGTACTCAAGTTCAAAAATATTGATGGATACTTCAATCCAAAACCCTGGGTTAGGTGCTGTGGGAAACAGAAAGATGAGCAGGATATCTTCTGCCATAGTGAATAACTGAGTGAAGGAAAGGAATTCATATGGTAAGCATTATTCATACATTCATATATTCATACATACATTTACTTATTCAGTAAATTTTATTATGTGCCCATTACGTTCCAGGCAATGTCCTAGGTACCAGGGATACAGCAGTGAGCAAAGTTGGTGCTCTTTTGGTACTTCCAATTTATTGAAGAAGAATCAGGATAGATAAGCAGTTATCTGCCTTAAGGAGTCTGCCCAAGGAACAGCCAGTGAGGGCAGAGCAGGATTCAAACCTCAGCATGACTCCAGATCCTTAGCCACCATCCTATTCTACCTAAAACCTAGAATTCCTGAAATAAAATAGGAAATCCAATATTCAGGACCCAAGGACATCTTTGCAGAATTAGAAGCAAAACAAGACTAACTTTATGATAAATAAAATAGATAAATCAGAACTAACCTCAAGCATTCACATTATTTGTGATATTCTGTCCCCAGATCTTCAGGTGGTGAAGTAATAAACATATAGTGAAATATGAGACTCGCAATAGTGTGTCACGGATCCCTGAGACTTATTCTGCTTACGGTTATCCAAAGACATATGTTTGCTATTTCACAATAATACCTCACTACTCTAACAGCCTGTTTGCAAACCTTCTGTTATCTTAGGAGGCACAGGGAAGCAGGAACAAATTGGAGAAGAAGAAAAAAGAGAAACAGTAGGAATTGGGAATGTGGTGAGGAGGAGCCGGGCGCTGCTGCTGACACTGTAAAGCCACTGCCTGGGTCTCAGGTGGCTCGTGTTGGGCTCCAGACCCTGACTTCTGGAGTAGTTAATGAATGAAAGAAAACAGCATCACTCCTCAGGCAAGGCTCCCACTGAGAATGACCACCTTGGGTGATGTGAAAGGTGTCCTCTGTGAAGATTGGGTCCATCGCTCATGTCAAGATTAGGGGTATTATTCAGGAATATTAGAGAAGAATCTAGTAATGAAATCGTAATGAGGAGGGTGGGGTGTTTGAGCAATAAGATTCTGCTCTCTTTTGATATGAAGACAAGCTGCCCATAAACAGAGACAGGTACTCATTGAATGACATTTACAACGGCATTGTTGACTCAAGAATAGCCTGTTTCTAAGTTCAGTAGTAGCAACTCAGCCCGTTAGAATTCAAGAGGAAAACAGATCTGAGCACAGGCTTCATGATCTTGGTGTGGCTTAGATTTCAACTCAGGCAGGATTTGTGACTTCACTGGATGGTGCTAATGAAACACAGAGCACATTGACTCATTCCTGCTTGACATTTAATTTGCTGCATGATTTCTAGTATGTTCTGCCGTCTGCTGATACAGGTGTTTTTAAGATGGATAGATCATTTAAAAAAACCCGCCTTATTGTTTAAAGAGGTGGTAATACTGAAAAGGAAGCACTAAAGAGTTTAAGAGCTAGGTTCTGTACAAGTTTAAACTTTCAACTCTATTTAACTCATGAACCCTCAGTCATAATAGGTCATTTATGCCCAGTGTCTATTGCGTTTTTGTCCTCCTTAAGTTTACTATGCCTAGCAAAAATCCAGATGAGAAATATGAAGACTCTGATAATTTCTGATTAATATGTATAAAAGGAAGACATAATCTTTCTCTCAAAGCCTAGAAAATGAAGGCTTTTTGACTTGCCAAAGCCTAAAAGTAACAGGATGTGATTGGTTGACTGTATTGAAGATTTACTTGGCAATAAGGTGATAAAAGTTTTAATAACCATTGCTATGTTTTAGCAATGTTGGACAATGACACAGTAGGTCATGTCGATTTGCTGGGAAGTGGAAGAGAAAACAGAGATGAGAAGGCATCTATCTAAAAGGTAGGTGAAATATTTGTTCAGCATATGCTCTGTGGGAGAAACTATGCTGGATGTGGGGATATATAAAGAGGAACATCCAGGAGAATGAAGTGGTCAAGTGCTGGCATCCAAGATACACAAGCTTGCATTTGAATCCTAGCTCTGCTGCTCAGTGCTGTTGTGAGGCTGTTCTGATTCTGGTTGCTGTGTAACAAATTACCCTAAAACTCATTGTAAAGCAACAACCATCTCTACCTATTTTGTGGGTCAGAACTTCAGAAAAGGCTGAGCTAGGCAGTTCTTACTTGGGGTCTCTCATAAGGTCGAAGTTAGGTGTTGGCTGCAGCTGCAGTCATTTGAAAGCTCGACCAGGTTGAACCAGATACGAGACCAAGATGGCCCGCTTACACAGATGGCAGCTGATGCTGGCTGTCGGCGAGGAGCTCAGCGACATTCAGGTGATACTCCAGCATGGCAGCCTTTGGGATGGCAAAATTCTTACGTGGTGGTTTTTTTTCAGCCAGAGCAAGTGTTCCAATGGAAGCTGGTGGAAGATGCATGGCATTTTATAACAAAGCCTTGGAAGTCACACAGAGTCATTTCAGCCATACTCTATTGGTAGAAGCAGTCACAACCCCATAAGGGGCTCTCCATAGGGGAATTAGATGCTGCCCTTTGACGGGGGAGTGGCAAGGCCCCATTGCAGAGGATGGAAGGATGGCTGCAGCCATCTTTCTAACACAAAGTCTGCCACATTGGGCTTGAAAAAGAAACCTCTCTAAAGCTCAGTTTCCCTGTCTGTAAAAGGAAAATAACAATATCCTATAAATAACTGTTGTGACAACTAAAAGAAATAATGCTTGCAAGAGGCTTAGCCCCATGCTGAAAACCCAGGAAGTGCTTAATCAATGTTCACTATTAACAGAGTCCTGGACCCGGTGGTACTTATTCTGGCTCCCACTTTACAGGATTAGGATACAGAATCATGTCACATTTCAAATTATAAGTGCCTCCAACCCCCCCTGTTGCATATCCTTGAGGAGATTCTTTTCTCTTCCTTGGGGTCTGAGCTCCTGTGAGAATATCAACATCTTCATTAAGTTCTAGTCACTCACCTTCCTGACACTGCTCCTTGGGTCCCGTCTTTACTAGGGAACTTTCACATCTTTGGTAGTAACGGTGACTCTTTCTCCCTAACACTGTCAATTAAATTTTAGCAATAAAGATGATTTATATTCAACAAAAAAAAAAGAAAAGAAAATTACTTATTAAAATTACTTATTGCTGATGATGGGATCTCCATAAAGGCTGCTCAGCCTTTCTTATGACAGCTTTTTCATTCTAAACCCTGTCTTCTCTCCCCAAGCTCCAAACCATGCCCCCAGGCCTTTCCCTGCTGAAGATGACTCATTCCTTCTCTCACTGAAAGAAAGGAGGCCTCTTCAAACAGGAACTTTCTCGCCACCGTCTCCTCCATTTCCACACTTAGCCCCACCTGCACCCACTATTTCTTCTCACCTTTTGTCTCAAGACGAAGACATACCTCTTCTGGTTTCTAAGGCTAAGTCCTCCAGTTGTGCACTCAGTTCTCATTCTTTCCATGTTCTGTGGAACATTGCTACACTGTTTATACCTTCTCCTACAGCTTCCATTCCTTCCTCGAGATCAGCGTCATGCCCTGAGTCTTAATGCCACAGTCTTTCCTAGTTTACTAAATCAACAGCGACAACCAACCACATCCTTTTCTCAGTTTTCCTTGCCTGTCCAGCTACTGTTCTCTCCCTTCCTTCACCGCAGACCTCACTGCCTACAAGCCCTCACCACCACTCATTCTTCACTGCCTGCAATCTGTCTCCTGCCTCATCTTTCTAGAAACTGTTCTTGCAAAGGACTCCTGGGGCTTCCTGTTTTAAGCCACTGAGTTTTGAGGTGGCTTTTATGCAGTCATAGCTAACAATTACAGTGGTCCAACCAGGGTCTTGACTTGTGTGACAGTTGCCAAGCCCACTGTCTTTCCACATTAGCAGGCAATGGAGAGGAAGGCTAATGCATTCTTGTGGGAGCTTTGACTTTCAAGTGGAGGAATCATATCGAATATTTAGAACTTTTTTTTTTTAATCTGAAACGCTCACATTAGGGAGTATTGTGGGTCAAGGGAATGGGGGTAAATATTTCACTGTATGGATATGGATATGCCACATTTGTCTATCCATTCGTCAGTTGATGGAAGTTGGCTATTATGAATAATGCTGCTATGAACATTTGTGTACAGGTTTTGTGTAGACATGTTTTATCATTTCTCTTGGGTATATACCTAGGAGTGGAATTTCTGGGTCATATGGTAATTTTATGTTTAACTTTCTGAGCATTTGCCAAACCATATTCCAAAGCAACTGCACCTCATATATTCCCACCAACAATGTGTGAGGGTTCCAATTTCTCCACATCTTTGCCAATATTTGTTATTGTCTTTTTGACTATAGCTGTGCTGGTGGGTGTAAAGTGATATCTCATAATAGTATTTTTTTTTTTTTTTTAAAGATTGGCACCTGAGCTAACAACTGTTACCAATCTTCTTTGTTTTTCCTTCTTCTTCCCCTAAAAGCCCCCCAGTACATAGTTGTACTTTCTAATTGTGAGTGCGTCTGGTTGTGCTACGTGGGACACTGCCTCAGCATGGCCTGATGAGTGGTGTCATATTCGCACCGAGGATCCGAACCCATGAAACCATGGGCCGCTGAAGCTGAGCATGTGAACTTAACCACTTGGCCACAGGACAGCCTTTCATTATGGTTTTGATTCACATTTCCCTGTAAGTAATGATGTCAAGCATCTTCTCATGTGCTTATTTGCCATTTGAATATTTTCTTTGGAGAAGTGTCTATTCAAATCATTTGTTGATTTTTTAAACTGTGTTGTCTTATTGTTGAGTTGTAATAGTTCTTCACATATTCTGGATACAAGTCCCTGATTTGATTATGATTTGCAAATATTTTCTCCCTTTCTATATGCTGTCTTTTTACATTTTTGATAGTGTGCTTGAAGCAGAAAAGCTTTCAAATTTTGATAAAGTCCTATTTATCTTCTGTGCATGTATGCCTATGTTTTTTTGTGTCATATCTAAGAAATTGTTGCTTAATCCAAGGTGGTGAAAACTTACTCCTATGTTTTCTCTAGAATGTCTAGACTTTTATAGATTTCGCTCTTAAATTTAGGTCTTTGTTTCACTCTGAGTTTATTATTGTATATGGTGTGAAGTACGGGTCCAAGTTTATTCTTTTGCACATGAATTTCCACTTATTCCAGCACAATTTGTTAAAAGACTGTCCTTTCTCCATTGAATAGTCTTGGCACCCTAGTTGAAAATCAATTGACCATAGTTATATGGGTTTACATCTAGATTCTCAATTTTATTCCATTTATCAACATGTTTATCCTTATGTCAGCACCAGACCATCTTGATTATTGTAGCTGTATAATAATTTCTGAAATTTAAAAGTGTGAGACCTCCAACTTTGCTGTTCTTTTTTAAGATTGTTTTGGCTAATCTGTGTCCCTGAACTTCCATATGGATTTTAAAATCAGATTGTCAATTTCTTTCTTTTTTTCTTTTTTTGGAGGAAGATTCACCCTGAGCTAACATCTGCTGCCAATCCTCCTGTTTTTGCTGAGGAAGACTGGCCCTAAGCTAACATCCGTGCCCATCTTCCTCTACTTTATATGTGGGACACCTGCCACAGCATGGCTTAACAAGCAGTGCTAGGTCCACACCTGGGATCTGAACCAGCAAACCCTGGGCCACCAAAGTGGAACATGCGAATTTAATGGCTGTGCCACAAGGGTGGCCCCCAGATTGTCAATTTCTTAATAAAAAAAAAAAGGCATGTGGAATTTTGATAGGCGTTGAATCTGTTGAATCTGTAGATCAATTTGGGAAGTTTTGGCATCTTAACAATTTTAAGACTTTCAACCCAGGAACGTGGGATATCTTTCCACTTATTTTGGTCCTTACTTTCTTTTAACAATGTTTTGTGGTTTTCAGTGTACAAGTCTTGCACTGTTCTATCAAATGTATTCCTAAGTGTTTTTTTTTTTTTTTCCCTAAAGATTGGCACCTGGGCTAACAACTTTTGCCAATCTTTTTTTTTTTCCTTTTTTTCTGCTTTTTCTCCCCAAATCCCCCCAGTACATAGTTGTATATTTTAGTTGTGGGTCCTTCTAGAGTTGTGGCCATATTTTATTCTTTTTGGTGCTATCAAATAAAATTGTTTTTTTAATTTCACTTTCTGTATGGTTCATTGCTAGTGTGTAGACATACAATTGACTTTTGTATATCGAAATTATATCCTGCAGCCTTACTGAACTGGCTTATTAGCACTAACTTTTTTTTGTGGATTCTTTAGGACTTCCTATATACAAGATCACGTCAACTGCAAATATGATTTTATTTCTTCCTTTGCAATCTGGGTCCCTTTACTTCTTTTTCCTGCCTCATTATCCTAGTTAGACCCTTCAGGACAAGTGTTGAATAGAAGTAGCAAGGATGAACATTCCTGATTTTAGGGGGCAAGCTTTCAGTCTTTCACCATTAAGTATGAAGTTTACTGTGGGTTTTTCAGAGATCCTCTTTATTAGGTTGAAGTTCCTGTTTATTCCTAGTTTGTTGAGTGTTTTTATCATGAGAGATTCTTAGATCTTGTCAAATGCTTTTTATGTGTTTATTGAGCTGATGATATTGCTTTGTCCTTTATTCTATTAATATGGTGTATTACATTGGTTGATTATCATATATTGAGCCCACCTTGCATTCCTGGGATAAATCCATTTGTCAGTGGTTTATCCTTCTTTTTATATGTTACTAGATTCTCTTTGCCAGTATTTGGTTGAATATTTTTGTATCTATAATTACAAGGTATATCAATCTTTTCTTGTGGTTTTACTCATTAAAAAAAAATTTTTTTTGAGGAAGATTAGTGCTAACATCTGCCACCAATCCTCCTCTTTTTGCTGAGGAAGATTGGCCCTGAGCTAACATCCATGCCCATCTTCCTCTACCTGATAATGTGGGATGCCTGCCACAGCATGGCTTGATAAGCAGTGTGTAGGTCTGTGGCTGGGATCTGAACTGGCGAACCCTGGGCCACTGAAGCAGGGAGCAAACTTAACCGCTGTGTCACCGGGCCGGCCCCTTAACTCATTTTTAATAGATCTAAGGTAGTCCATAATATAAATGCATCGTTCTATAAAGGAATATTTAAATTGCCTTTTTTTCCTGTAATAAGCAGTGCTGAAATAAACATCCTTTCACATACTTACATATAAATTCATTTTATTTCTTTAGACTTCTAAATATGTCTGCTTAGTTAAAGCATATGTTCATTTTAAATTTTAATAAATATTTCCAGATTTTTCCAAAAAGTTGTAACAATTTACATCTTCCCAGAGAGATACGTGATTATATCCCCATATTTTTTCCAGTGTGAGATATTTATTTTTTAAATTTTTGCCAAAGGATCAAATATTTCTCAATTTTCCTAACATGTACCAGGGTTGAACATTGTTCCCTATATTTGCAATTTACATTTCTTCTATAAAATGCCCATTTATTCGCTTTGTCTATTTTTTTTAATTGGGTTGTTTTTGTTCTTATTAATATATAGGAGTTTTTGCATATTAAAGATTTTAATCCTTTGTCAGTGAGATTTTGCAATTATTTTCTCTATTTTAATTAGTTAAATGTGTCAATCTTTTCCTTTCTAGCTTTTAGGTTTCTTTTTACCCTTACCACCTCACCCATCCCATGGTTACACAAATATCCTTTTTTTAAAAAAATACTGTATTCATTTTTTATTGCTGCTGTAACGAATGAGCGCAAATCCCTTCTTATTAAGCAAGCTGAATAAACCAAACCAGAAAGATGCCTAGAAGGTGCTTTGATGACAGAGGGAAAGAAAATCCCAGGGCTTGGTTCTGAAGGGCCTGACCTTGCTGCAAGGCTGAAGACCTCAGGACGGGCAGGCCCATGGGTGAACGGGTCCATTTCCTGGAGATCAGAACTCCTCTGGAGAAACCTAGCAAGAACTCAACGGGATGCCTCAGCTAACCTTAGCCTTCCAACACGAAGGTCTTCAGAACCTTCAGAACCCTTGGTTCCATATGTTTACTTTTTTCTATACCATTTTTATTTCCTAACCCCTGTGTGGTAGCATCTGAAACAAGCTTTGTAGAAACGTGGTGTGTTCCCTGAGTAGTACGAGTGCTGGGATTGGCTGGGAAATTAATTGTAGTTTGGACAGAAGCCCACCTATCTCAGAAGAGTCCAGTCTTGGTAGAATCATGAAGTTAAGGACTTTAGATTGTGTAGGTCAAGTTGCCTTACATTGGCACGAACCAAGGCTCAGAACCCAGAGTTCTCTCTCTTTGCTTCTGGGGAGTCTCAGTCTGTTGTGCAGAGGGACGATCATCCCTTAGTCAAACATCTGACTGTTGGATGAGTAACCTGGTGCCTTTTCTTTTACCAAGAGGGGAGAGGGTGGCAGTGAAGGGCGAGACTCGAGCCTGAAGGTCACAGCTACAGCTGCTGGCCCTCTAGTATTTGTTTACACCCGATTTTAACACCACAGTATTTATGAGAGAAAGTCAATGTGGGTACCATTCTTGTTCACATCAGTTCAATACAACCACAACCGCAGAGGTCCTGAAGGGTATTTGGCAGGCAGCACAGCACTGGGTCAGAGTACACCAGCCTCAGAAATTCACTGGAGCCAGGCCTGGACCCTCCGCCAACGCTTACTTAAACGCCTTGACCAAGTTACTTAAGCAGCCTGTGCTTCAAGGGGACAGCTGCGCTCCCCTCGAAGGGTTGTGATGAGGCATAAATGAGATAATGCATGTCAAGGACTTGACATGCTGCAAGGGCGCACTAACAAGTGCTCTAATTCAGCACTTTTTTACTAAAAAAACCCTAAAGCTTTCCTAAGTTCAGCGTATATTGCTTGAAAGGTAAGAAGCAAAATAAAAACATAGAAAAGGCCAAATTTGAATGAATTCCTGCAAAAAAATCTTTGAGGTTGCCCATTTTGCACATTCGTACATTCTATTTTAAGTAAGTCCCTTTGGCAATAGGAAATGTCTTAAGTGCTTTCTGTCCTAGTTGGGAACCTTCTGGTCTCTGGCGTCAGGAACCCAAGTCCAACAAGCTTAAAGACAAACGGGAACGAGGAAAGCAGGGGA